AAAAGATTAAGAGGGAGAGGTGGACGGATTTCGAAGCTGTGTTGGCGGATTAGGTCGATTCGTCTAGGGATCCTAGGTCAGAAGCAGAAAGTCCCTCGTAAGGATGTCATGGTCCGTGAGCCTGGTCTGGATGTAAGCACTACACGCCAGTAGGCTCTATTTTTTGAAGGTGTCGAGTGGAAGGGATTAGGATGAAGCAAGGATCATCATCCTTTCTTAACCACTACTGCAGGAAGGCGGGGACACCTCAGCGCAAGAGGGAGAGAAGCCCTTTCTCCATGGACACATTTATGGGTATGTGAGACCTTCTTTGGTCCATTGACAGTTCTAAAAAAAAAACTTTTTTTTTTATAATTTCAATACAAATGAATCGTTCGGGACAGAGGATCGTTAGGATGGTGGGTGGTTGAAGGATGCTGCGAAGTACACCCTAGCCATGATGGACAATTTGCAGGATGAATATGCAGGGCTTCTGTCGGCCATTACCTCGAAGGGGCAGCAGTCATTTGACCCTTTGCCCGTTACCAACTCTAAACAAGGGTGGATAGACTCGCGACAACCTTCCCCTGGAGCCATGGAGCATCGAGCGGAACGGACCGGGCCCTTGGCGTTGTTGGTTGACTCTTCGGAGGTAGCGGCTAGAGAATTGGCTACAAACCTAGTGTAGAAGCCATCATCACCCTTGACTTCCACAGACTTTGAGGTGACGAACCTGAGGGTGGAGGTTGCCTCATTGCGGAGCAAATTGGCCAAGGCATTGCGCGAGCATAGAGCGCTTCTTAAGTCGATTGAGTTGGGCAAGTTCTTTTACAAGGCTGATCAGCTGGATCAAATTAAGTTAAACGAACAGATGGTCTTCCAAAGGTTGACTCAAAAGGGGTATGTCCCGATTGAAGCCTTAGAGAGCCCATTCATAAAACACTTTGTTCTAGATCTATAATAATATTTTTTTAAAATAAAACAATGCTTAAATTAATTCGCAAAGATATTTTATGTGACACCTCATTTTGGGTGCTCGCCTTATAAATGAGAAAAGGGAACACTTCTTTTTTACTTTACATCTTTTGGTCTCTCACTCTCCGTGCTCTTGATCTTTCTTTGCCTTTCATTTGCTGACCGTTTCTTATTTCCTGAGATGGATCCAAAATATTCCCCTACCCTCTTTGTCTCTGTCAAGGATGTTGATCCTCCATTTTTGAAGGAGAACGAGGTAAATAAGTTACAGAGAAGATACGTTCTTCATAAGAGTGTCGCTCTTTGGAAGTTGCAAAGTTTGACGCAAACCACAAATCTTTGGGTAAGGATCTACTCTTTTATCGAGACCAGTTCAAAAATGGCCTTCGGTTACCTCTGAGTGACGAGCTTCGGAGTGTCATTAATACAAATGAGGTTATTCTAACACAAGTATTGTCGAGTTCCGTAGCCGCAATAATGACATTCATTCTCTTTTGTCAGTTGGAGAATATTGCATGGAAGATCGACCTTTTTAAGCATTTTTCACGTTTAAAGTCGGTCAGAGGACTTAACCATGTTTTTAGCGAGGAAGGAGCTCCATTTGCTGCGAGTGGAAAATAAAATAAAGAACTGGAAGAAGAAGTTATTAGTCGGTTCTTATTCAGGCACCGAGGGGATTCAAACCAAGCTGGTAGAGCGTATGGTTCACAAGCTGAAGTCTATTCTGAAGAGTATGAATGTCGCCATGGGAATGCTAACTTCCATCATCTCTCGGTCCCACAGTACACCACTGAGATGACAGTTACCCATATGCTAGCCCAAAGGTTGACTGAGAAGTAGTGGTGTCTCTCAGATATCGAAGAGGCGGTCTGAACAGAGACGGCGGAGAAAAGGTGGCCATCAAACACTGGCAACAGAAGCATCCCTCTGGATCAGGTAATCCTGTAGGACACAAGGACCCGCTCCCTTACTGCATGGCCTCGAAACACCTTGTCTCCATTTATGATCATAGTATTATTATTCAAGATAAGGTGGTCGATAAGGCCACTGCTATTGCTCGAAAGTGTGCTTCTCATTTTGTTTATGCAGAGGAAGGTGATAAGGGAACGCTCATTTTATAACTCACATATATATAACATATAGATACATACATAGATATATACATAGATATATATGTATACATACACACACATATATTTATTTTTATATATATTTGAAGTCCTAAACTTGTCTCTTTCTAGAGCAAAGGACAATGCAACCTATGTGTCATTTGTAATCACTCATTGTTATCAAAGAGATGATCAATTCAACTAAGAAACTTATGAGATACTATCTCAATTTTTGGAAACCCTAAATTTGAATGATCAATCATTTTAAAAGTATTTCTTCCAACATCGATATTAGAATTCTGTCATTCACCTCATTTAAACTTATGACCTTGAGTTGTTAAAATGGTATATTCACATTCTCGGTAAAAAATGTAATAATGGTGGCAACTGCCGAACCATTTCATTTTATTGAGGTTTTCTTAAATTGAAGTGGGTCGATCCTGCATTCTAATTAGAGATAATATTGTTTGATCAAATTTTGATCGTTGGAAGATAGAATTGTCGTCATTTTTATTTGCATAAAAAGTACTCTAATCAAAGTTTGATAATGATTATAATTCTTTTTTTTTTTCAAAGTCAATCAACAAATTTCAATACACTTTATGCATGGAGATTACGGTCATAGGAGAATTTCATGATTCAAAAGACTTGGATCCTTTAGAAGCTTTTGTAGGGCACTATAAACATGCCAAGTTTCCTACCTTATCTTCCACCAAATTGAGATAATGTTGCTCACGTCTCCCAAACAAGCTAATTTAATTATGTCAAATATTTTCTATCATTTTTGAAGTTTTACAACTTACAACCCTCAAGATGACAAAAGTTTTACATTCAGACTCCAGACGTATAATTTACGTTCGGAGTCCAATGAGAGGATGTCATGTTGCAAGTGTGGCCCACCTTATAAAAAAACCTACCTAATCATTTTATTATAGTGGGACCCACTTGTCACGTGGCAAGTTGCCACTGGACTCCGGTCGGAAATTTACGCCCAAAGTCCGAATGTAAAATTTTCTCCTTAAGTTTTCAACAACAACTTGAATTTCTTTACTTTATATCAATACTATCTTTATATAAAAATCAAAAAAACTTATAATCTCATTTCTATTTGTAAGTTTTATCATCAATTTGTCTCCCTTGTTTTCTCCTTTCTAGATTTTCATGTAAATAATCACATATCTTCGTTTCCATCTAACTAATAATGTAAATAACACTAAGTAATGTTTATAATATTAAAATTCTTTTTATTCTAACTCCATTTATTAAACAAAATAATTTTAAATTTTAATACGACAAAATACCCTCCATTTAATTATAAAAAGAATAAAAATTACATATTATCTTCTTAGAATTTCTAGTAAAACAATCAACGACGAAATGAAAAATAGAACAAGAAAATTCATACCAGAAAAACAGTAACACAGCGAAACACACAGATTTAGGTGGTTCGACAATTTGCCTACGGCCATGGAGTTGTAAAAAATTTTACTACTTGAGGAATTTACACCAGTCGATCGTCTCAACTCACAAAAGGGATCTCTCACTTCGTTGCTCTCTCTTTTCCTCTCTCTACACCGAGACACTCAAGAAGATAAACTTACAAGAGAAATAAACCCAATTTTTATTCTGCCACAAGCCACCAAGAAGAAGCCAAGGGAGAACAATTTTCTTCTTCTACTTTCTTCTTCCGCAAGGAACTACTGCTTGCACTTCTCTTCCTTTGTCCCGAGGAAGCCCGAAGAAAAACACAAAAAGGGTCGTGCTATAAACTGAATGAGAGCCAATGCGATGTCTTTTATCTCGAAACCTGGTGCGGGAACAGTTGCACAAGGAAGTGTCGCGATTAGGCATCGTTTTGCAAAATGTGGAGGCGAGAGATGTCGTGACAGAGCGAGAGATGGGAGCGGAAAGGAGCCGATTCGCGAAATTGGCGAAGTGTCTTCACCTTGCGTGTGCGTGGGATCAGGAGGAGGAGCTACTCGCGTGATCGGAAGCGGGAGTCGGGAGAGCGGGAGCGAAATCGGGCTCCAACTAACAAATTTCTCAAGGGAATTAATTTATGTTTAATATTTTGCGTCGGCTCTCAAAATAAAAAAAAAATAAATAAAAATTAAAAAGAGAAAAAAACACCCTCAAGTCACGCACGTGCACTACTGCAAGGTCCCGTACACTCGATACAGGCCCAGTCCCTCTCCCGCAGTCTCCGAGCTCGTCTTATTGCCAATCAATCCACTCCACGTGTCAAACATCGCCCAACAGGCTTGCTTACTCCCACGTCGATCTCGCCGCCGCTCTTGCGGACGGCATCGCCGGATGCCACGCAAGTGATGGAAACCGGCTTCAGCCGGTCACCTGCTCTCAGACTGCTATTCTTCCCGCGATGCATAAATCCCATCTCCCCCGAACCCAAGCTCTTGAGTTGCTGCAAATGATCGCCGCGGGAGAAGAGAGAGTGAGATAGGGATAAAAATACCGCCTTTAGCGGCGTGCTGCTGGTTATACCGCTCTATCTGTTTGGTATCGTGATCGTCTCCACTGGCCTTATTTTGATCTGTAAGTCGTAAGCCCTATCTTTCTTTATCCTCTGAATCTTCGATCTGCCAGCTCAAATTCACTTGAAAGATGTTGGACGGAATTTTCTGTGTTTTGTTTTCGTTCTTTCGGTGAGGATGAATTAGGGGTTCTGAGTGCAGTTATTTTGCCTTATTTTTTATATTAGAGTTGGAAGTTGGTCACTTTTTTGTAATTAGGGTTTGATTATGCGAAATTTCTTTCTTCCTTTTCGTGCTTCGTGCATTGGGGCCGAGATCGTTTCAGTCAAAACCTAAAATTTGAAATTTGCAGATCTGATGTAAACCTGGTTTTGCAGGATCTTAACTCCAATTATGTACTGCAAAAACATTGGCTTTGGTGATTTGGGCGTTTTATAATCTGTGAAGGGGTTTCCTTCTTTCACCTCTGGATAAGTTCGTTGTGCCTGGTGCAGCTGATAAGAGTGATTTCGGGCCTAGTTTTGGTTGGGTGGCTGCAAGGTATCAGGAAGGGCCGCCTTCCTCTGCAGGGCTGGCGCTAGAGGGGTATTTTAAGCGTAGCCACCAGCTGGCTTCCAGCCCCTCTCCCTTGGCGCCCCCTTTAAGAGTTGCTGGAGGTGGCGGTCCTTCACCATCATCATCAGCCTCTTGCATCTTCTTCCTGGGTGATGGGCAGAGCCCTGCACCCGCGAGCTCCATCTCAGGGACTGTTATGTCCGGGCTTGGGCCTGGTGCTTCTGCTGAAATGAATCATAGAGCCCTCAATAGTGCTGCAAACTCATCTGGACCTAGTATGGGGGCAAGCTCTCTTGTCACAGATGCTAATTCCTCTCTTTCAGGTGGGCCACAATTGCAGAGAAGCTCCAGCATAAACAATGAGTCATATACGCATCTTCCAGCATCGCCTCTATCCTTCTCTTCCAACAACATCTCTTGTTCCTCTGTCATGGATGGTTCTTCTATTGTTCAGCAAAGTCCCCAGCAGGAACATTTGGCAAAGCAAGCTAATTCCGGCAACATATCCCAGTCAATAATGCATGATGCTGGAATGTTGCCTGCTGAGAAGAGACCACGGTTGGAGATGAGGCAGGGAGATGTTTATCAGCAGCAAGTTATCCAACAGATGTTGCAGAGGCAACAGAGCCCTCAAATTCAGGCCATGCTACATCAGCAGAGATTAGCACAGGCTGCACAACAGCACCAGCAACAACAAATTTTGCAGTCTCTGCCACAATTGCAACGAATTCAGGTTCACCAGCAAAACCAGCAGACAAGATCAACTCCTGTACAGTTGGTGTCTCCAGCACGACGCCCTGACGGTGGTTTGTGTGCGCGGAGGCTTATGCAGTATATGTACCACCAAAGTAATCGACATGCTGTGAGTTCGTAACATTCATAATGATTATCTTTGTAGATAGGGGTTTTAAATAATCCCAATACAGTTTTGCCTAATTTCTGTTTTTTCTTTTTCGGGGGTTACCGCAGGACAATTCGATTACTTACTGGAGAAAATTTGTTGTGGAATACTTTGCACCCAAAGCAAAGAAAAGATGGTGTTTGTCATTGTATAATGGTGTTGGCAATCATGCCTTGGGCACCTTTCCTCAAGCCTCTATGGTTAGTTATTGCTTTGTCATCCATTGTGATGTATTATGGCTAATGTTATGCATTTCCAGGTCTCTATTTTGTTCAAATTTTTATATTAAAAGATTTCATGCTCACAATATTTTTGATATTTTTTAATTTGTAATGTCGACATTACTGTCATTTTGTCTAATTTCATGCCTCAAATTTATCTGCTTGTGCAGGATGCATGGCAATGTGGTATATGTGGTTCTAAAACTGGAAAAGGCTTTGGTTAGTATGTTCAGATCTGTTTTAATTCTCCTCGTGCTTTCGGAAATACGTTGCTTTAATGAGTTAATATTTGTTTACCCGTGGAATATTTTCCATCAGACAGATTGCACACTTTCCTCAACTAGTTTGAAGAAAAAAGTATTACTTGAAACTAAAGAAAAATCTTTCTATCCTGGTTAATATTTTCAAAAGATGTGGAGGAAATTGCTTACTAGTTGAAACATAAACGAAGTGAATTTGGATTAAAGGATAATAGATAAGGAAACCTGAAATGAAGAGGAAAAGAAGCAGAAAAAGTCAAAATTTAACGAATGGTGTGTTACCTTTTTTTTTTTTCTAGCTAAAATGAACCAGCGTAATATTCTAGCGCTCATCTGCATCTCCTTGAAAGCAATAATAGTACTTTTATTAAGTTTGTATCCAGTCCTTTGTTTGCTATTAAGCTTTTATGCAATTAAACTTGTGTTTGTACATGCTTTTTATTCAATATATTTTTTGTATGGAGGCAGAGGCCACTTATGAAGTGCTTCCTAGGCTCAATCAAATCAAATTTGATCATGGGGTTATTGATGAGCTTTTATATCTTGAGATGCCTCGTGAATTCCGGCTTCCATCTGGATTGATGGTTTTGGAGTATGAAAAAGCAGTTCAAGAGAGTGTTTATGAGCAAATACGTGTTGTGCGTGAAGGCCAACTACGAATAATTTTCACTCATGATTTGAAGGTTTTCATCATGCTGCTATGCTTCCAAGTTTTCCACAGAATTTTTTCCTATTTTGTATGATTCTCCATTTGTCTTGTGATTCAGATCTTGTGTTGGGAGTTCTGTGCTCGTCGCCATGAAGAACTTTTCCCTCGGAGAATGATGGCACATCAAGTATGTGAAATGCCATCTATTTGTGTATGCTCTTAGGGTATCAAATTTTTTATTTGAACATGATAGCAAGCTTAACTGGTTATTGTTTTTTTCCCTTTTTTTGTCCTTCACGACATTTAGAGTGATTATGAAAGATTTCATTATTTATGTATTTTTTTTAATTCGTTGTTTCATGCTGGTGTAAGCTCTATTTTATTATAAAGTTTTTTTTTCTCTTATTTGTGTATCCAACAATTTTCAGCAAGAAGTTTCTTTTTCTGATTCAGTTGGTTAGCATCTGTCAATCCTTGTAAATTGAATGTTAGTTTACTTATTGATGCAAGGCCTATATAATTTTTTTTGCACTTTCATTATGCCTCTAGGAAATGTTGTTTTCATGTTTTATCAGTTCGGTTGAATAAGAATCTTTCTTAACAAAATTTAGAGTTGGTTGGTATGAATTCGTGATTCTGGTTTATATATTTGTTTCTGTTTTAAGGCATATGATTTAAAAAATTGTACAGCATGGGTAGTGACATTTAGGAAATCGTTAAATGAATCTACGATAGTCTTAAGAGAATCATTATCGTCTTTAATTATTTTTTACTTCAAATTTATGAACTTTTGCTCTCCCTTAACTTATGTGGGTGTTGCATGCTGTATTAATTTGTCTATGAATTTTTTAATCACAACTGTTAGACAAGTTGCCTTTCATTGATTATTTTGCCCCTTCCCCCCTCTTCATGCTTTTATCATTGTTACCTCAGCACCATTATTGGTGAATTTTCTGATATCCTCTGTATATCAAAGTAAGCCTTATGGAATACAATTTTATTTTATTGATTATTTGCATGGTTTTCTGATGAATCGGGGATTTTTGTTCTCAATACGTTTGGTTTTCATTTTTTATCCTATATTTAGTTTTTGTACTTTGTTTTCATGCTTATTTCTACATTTTTTACTAATGTCAATAAACAAGACCGTTGCGTGAATTCCAGAAAAATTCTAATCCTTTTATTAGTGTTTCTTTGTACATTTTCTTTGTCAAAAACTCTTGCTTTTAAGCCTTTGTTCTGCTTTGTGGCATCTTACTCCCAAATAATCATTATATTCTTATGAGATGACACTAAAACGAAATGATTGATTTGTTCTGTTAGCAAGTTTAATTGTGTGTTAGTGTTACACTAGGGCTTTACTTCAGATGGCATGTTTCAGATTACCTTAAGCTTGCTGGATCTTGACATAAATAATCCGAGTAATCTAAATGCACGCTATACTATCCTCACAGGTAAACCAGTTACTGCACGTTGCGCAAAAATATCAAGCTGCTATAAATGAAACTGGAACTTCTGGGCTTTCTGCTCAAGATCTGCAGGCTAGCTGCAACATGTGAGTGAACCATTACATTTCTTTGTCTCTGTTGATTAAGCAATCCAAGTTATAGCTTCACAGACTTGCAATACTTAAAATTTTTAGTTTTCTTTATTTTGCTATTTTTTCTTGACATCCGTTTCTATGGTATTATTTTAACATATAGAATATCATTGAATTTCAGCCCGAAATCTTACTATTGAAATTATGTTTATTGCAAATATATCGGAGCAGATGCAGCTAACTATTACAATAAAGTTGCAAATTTTAAAATTTAATTCAAAATTTACATTTCAAAATGACTTTTTTTTTAGCAAATTCACGGTTAAATATGGTTGACTAACGTACATGAGGGTGCTTCTTTTTTTTTATTTTTTCAGGTTTGCGGCAGCAGGCCGGCAACTTGCAAGAAATTTAGAACTTCAGTCACTAAATGATCTTGGCTTTTCCAAAAGATATGTTAGATGTTTGCAGGTATGTCTGGTGCTTCGGCCATCAACTTTTCTTTCTTTTGCTCAAATCTATGTTTCCCAATGATAATTCACTGGAAAATAGTTTAGGAAAGACTTTTGATGAGAAGAAATGCCATCAATAAAATTTGAGTTTATGAACATATATATCATTAGTGAAGATTATGACTGCCAATTGATATTTTATGTTATTTGGACATGATTTTGATATATTTCCTTTGAAATCCACAGATATCCGAGGTTGTGAACAGCATGAAAGACTTGATTAATTTCAGCCAAGCACACAAGATGGGGCCCATAGGTATGGTCGTTATTTTCAGATGTACGCAGGATTTAGCTGGGTGATATTTTGTTGTTATTTCTATGCCTCTTCATGCTTCTCGAGCTTCCCGTGCATGGAGATGTTTATACTTTTAGAAGAAAAGAGATATCCATGTGGATATATCTTGGCATTTAGTAGAAGTTTCAATAAGATTGACCGTGCTATATCTTTCAAGGCTTTATGTTTTTTCCTATTGTATTTTTTCAATAACTCAATTGTCTCCCTCCAAGAAGGTATATTTGCATCCTTCTTAATTGTTGCTTCTGCTGCTGCATTCTCAAGCACCAGATAATATTCCGTCCATTGTTTATGTATACTAATCTTTACGTTTATATTCGTGTAATTTTCTCAACCATTAAAGCTTCAGGACTCGAAAGGGTGTTTATATCCTTTAGTTTTTTTTCAGTTGAAATCAATACCGTTGTCTTCATATTTAGCACTTAATGTTGATGATGAGTTTTTTCTTTTATTTTTTTTTTATCATTATCCGATTTGTATCTCTCCATATTTGGATTTTAGAATATTTTTCAGTCATACCTTAATCACTTCAAAGATGACATTAAGTTTTCTTTTATTGATTTATTTATATTTTTGGTTAATTGTTTTAGACATTCTTACGCGAAGGTATGCCAATGTTTATGTTATTTGTAAATAACTATGTTAGAAGTTAACATAATATGTAATTATAGGGGATATCAAATTTATAATTGTAATTTGATGTTGCTGGTAGGTCCAGTGATAATCATGCTTAGTATTGTTGACTGTCTTGGTTGCTATCAAATGGAAGATTGTTACATTGATGAATGACAACTTTTAGAGTTGAAAGTAGATATAATTAAAATAGAATGCATCGTGAGTACCTTCAGAAGAGGATGTCATGAAGATCTAAAATGAAATTTTGTTACAATAATTAGATTTAATGTATTATATGACTTAACTATTAGGCCTTAAAATTTTTGGTAGCTTGCTTGAGTTTGAAGGGGGAATGTTGAGATAATTGTATGGTGAACTGTGAAGATTAGCTTGAGAAATGATTATAGTAGATATTATGATTAGCACCTTTGACAATAAGACAAACGTGCATGAGCTTAGAAGATGCATCACCATCACCTAGATGGATAGAATGAATTAATGAAATGGTTAAGGGAACTACTGAGAACTGAAATTGTGTGATTATGCAAATTATTTATGCACAGTAAACTTATTAATGCTGTCCTAATTAGGAATGATTTAGGGAAACTTAAAGCTATATTTCCTTTTCAGATATTATATTTTCCTAATAATTGTCATTTTGTGATGATCTCATTGCATCAGTAATCATGATAGAATTTCATTCTCAGATAGCCTGAAGAACTTTTCTCACGCTGCATCTAAGCTCCAGGCCCAGAACATGAACGAGGCAGAGCAAATGGCTGCAGCTACTCAGAACCTCCCCATTGAGCAGAGCAAGGATAAACTCATTGCTGGGCAACCTGGGCTCACCAGCCATTTAGCAAATACTCGCCCAACCACCCGCTTCTTGAACAATGCTTCCCAGGTTGCTTTGCCATTGAATAGCTACCAATATTTGTCTAGAAACTCTGCAAATCTAGACCAGAATCATCTGCGCTCCGATGCCTCATTTGCTGTCCTTACCCAAGCACAGTCTATACCATTTCAAGGCAATGGTCCTTCAGGTACAGCAGGACAAAGCTTTCAGGGCTTGCCAATTAATAGCCAGCAACAACAAGCGTTGCCAGCAAATCTTTCTCAGATCAACAGAACCCAGACTCCATCCCAAGCAAATCAACATTTACAGCAACATGTGATTCAGCAGCTTCTGCAAGAAATGATGAACAAAGGAACTCCACAGCCATCCATAAATGCACCTGTTGTAAACGGTAATGTCGCAGCTGACGTGCTTGGTTGTTCCGGTTCTGTCGCAGCAAACAAGAGCACGGGATCAGGTAGGATTGGATCAGAAATTAGCACTGGTCAAACATCCAGTGATGTCAAGGGAGCGATTCCCACTACAAGCGACACTTCTAAGCCTCCTTCCAAGAGTAATAACTGCTGCATCAGTAACAGTAACTATAATGCAAAACTGGATGCACTGGAAAACATGAATCTTGGTGATTTGGAACCTGACATATTAAGAGAGTTCTCTAAAGGTGGGTTTCCGTGGTGAGCTTGTCCTTATGGTCTATAGATAATTTACTTATTGAGAAAGATTCTGAGATGTTGGCTTATTATACTTGTGAGCTTGCCCTTAAATGTATTCTTAGCTTTTGCATAAACGCTGGTCAGTAAATGTGCATCTTTGATTTATTATATGTAGTGTTTGTGCTGTAATTTGAGGTTGGATGTTTGTCTCCTAATTGAACTTATGAAATGAAATATGTTGGGTATAGAGTGGCAGCTTTTTGTTTCTTATCGAAGAGCTTCGTGCATTTTGCTGTTGAATGTTGAAAGCAATTCGGTCTTTAACAATAGTTTAAAGATTTGGTTTAATGTTTCATACGAAGATGGCTGATGAGCTCGTGCTCAATTGGGTGCTTGGTTCCTTTTTTTTTTTTTCCTCTAATTTGGTTGTTTGTTTTTCTTAATCCAATTTGACCAAAATTGAATTTTACTTCAGCATGAAGAAAATTCTCATATGGAGAATGTGAGAAAAAATGATTTGGGCTTGTAGCCGCCCAAGGTAAGACAACACCATTAAAGATGGGAGAAAAAACCAAAGATAAAGAGCACAAAACCTTGGACCCATAGCTAGATACAATGCCATCATCAATTGCCTCAGTGCGTTCATTCTAAGTGTCGTAACAGAATCAACGCCAAATTGAAAGATCATAAGATAGAAAGCTCTGAGCTATAGCATAAAAAATTTAGCATTGCAATGCCATATCTAGCACCTAGTCGCCATAAACATACAGTCAAGACATAAATGACCCGACAGAAATGGTTATACATAAGCAAGGAGCAAAGGAGTCATGAGAGTGGTTTAGAGTTTAGAGAGTGTCACATAGTGTTTGTGGAGTGAGTGTTGGAGTGTGGTAGGAGGTTGAAGAGTGTAGAGAATGCAACAGAGGGAATTGCAGATGAGCATTTCGAAGAATATGTACATGAAGCAAGCATATTTCTTCACAAGATACTCTGGTTGTCACTTTTCTTTCTTTTCTTTATACTTTTGCTTAGATTTGAATTCTTTCCACATGTGGTTTGCAAACATAATATGTAATGAAGTTGATTTCCTTTGGATCAGTGTTTAAGTTGTGAATTTCAGTTATCCAAGTTAAATTTTTGAAGCTTTATGTGGTAAGTGTTGATGTGTTAATTTTTTGAACTTCTTTTTGTCTCGACCTGGCCACTTGATTATTAAAGTCAGCTGGGACCAACATATTTTGTAAGAAAACTAATGGAAATATTAAGTTAATGCACATGACTTTTGGTAGAATAGTAATATTATTATTAGAGGAGTGCAATCAATTGATAAGTATGGATTCTCTGGATTCTCTGTGATTTTTGCATGAGTTAACACTAAATTGTAATATAAAACCACCACATTTCTTAATACATGAGAAGAGAGTTTTTGTTCTTGATTGTTAATCAAATTAGAAAAAATTTTGGATAAATTTAAGGTCATAGCACATCACTAATTCAACGGAAGTTTTTTAACAAAATCAAAAAGCAGTAAAAAAAGTTGTGTTTTAGTATTTTAGGACTAGTAAAACCCTGTTTGAAGTTGATCTTATTGAATAAAACTTAAAGCTTAAGGTTAGCACTTGATCTAATTAAGGAATTGACCTAACTCTCTATGAGATCAAAATCTCATAATTTAAATCTGTATACTATTGGATGGACACGTGCACTTGCATGGATCATGTGCTATTGCACTACGAATCATTTTCTAATGGGTGTCTTTTTCTAGCAACTGCTTGCCTCTTCTATCTTTCAAATTCAAACGAAGAGGAATTTGTAATATCTGGGTAGTGTCTATCATCCTTGTCTGCCATAGTTGATTGCAAAGTTCTTTATATCCTGACATTTGGGTTTTTTCTTTTTTGTAACGCTGATTTCACAGAATCAGATGGTGTTTGGGCACATGATGCTTCTCGCATTGCTTGTTTTAAATCTTTCATAATCATTATAGTTATTTGCACATTCAACTCATTCATATGCTGTAAAGAAAATTCTATTATATACACTTTGTTGATGGAATGATCCATGTTACATGGTTTTGCTCCGTGAACAACTTCGGTTCTAGTTTGTGATATGTTGCATGCTCATCACATCTTCAAAAATATCATATCTTAAATTATTTGTGACCACATACTACCTAAAAAAAGAGCTGTGTGAGAGGGGAAGAACTGTATAGATATTGAGAGAGAGAGAGAGAGAGAGAGAGATAGTCTTAGGATTTTATTGATGTGAATGGAATGGTTGAAGATGCTAGACCATGTAATCTCCACAAGTTCCTTTACTCTAGGATTTTTTATTTCTCCTTCTCTCTCCCTCATCTATGCTTTATAGTGACCACCTATTTAATAGTTTGAGCATGCTAGAGGTAAAGTGCGTACATCGGTATACAAGAAACAAAAAACATATCATACTAAATATATAACTATGGATCAAAGTTACGTAGGTGTGCTTGATGACACTTGTTTTCCTATCAGTCTTTGATATAATAATGAGATCAAACACTCTGCCTGGGATACATCATCACAAGGTTTGATGCAAATAACCTCTTATGCTAACCCAATGACTTGGTCGGTTGAATCGATGAGTCGAGCTGACTATCTAAGCTCTTGGCTGAGATATCACGAGCAGAGTACATTGTCAAATTGTCTAGTTGAGCAGTTGTCATGAACCTGCTTGTTAAACTGTCTGGTTGATGAGTACAATCCAGGAGACTCATTGATCATACACTAATATTTAAAATCATAATATTGTTTTCCTGAAAATTCTTTTTGAAATAACTATTAGTGTGAAGCTATAATCTATTTAAAACTTTTGAAATAAGATATTTTAGCTATTTTCAGCATGAGCTCCACCAAGGAATTATAATTGATCTCCAAACATTTGTTATGATTAAATCCATGATCCTAAAACTAAATGTTCTTAATTTCATAGAGTACATCTCATCAAAACATTAACTTCCACTATAAGTTTAGTAAATTAATAAAATTATAATGTAATATTTATTCTAATAAATTGTTAAATTAGAGTCTTTTTTTTTTTAAAATTAAATGCTTTCTTAATTAAATTTGTCAACTTAGGCTAATCAAGCCAAAACAATTGCATGCGCTAATGATGCCTATGTGACGTGGAACCTCCAGCCAAACACAAGCTACACTTTTTTTTTTTTTTTAGTTATTTTATTTTATTTATTTTTTTAATTAATTTGTGGGCCCCTTGAATAAAAATTGCTAATAAAAGCCTAAAGCCAACAAACATGTCATTTTCTTCCCAAAGCGCGAAAAATATGTTACATCTTGTTCATCAAGGTTATTTATTAAGAAAAACTGCATTAAAACAAAAGGAATTATAGTTTAAATATTTTAAAATTATTTGATTCAGTGAAAATAAATACTCTGCAATTTTTATATTTAATTATTAAAAAATAGATTAACATGGAATAAGGTTGTAGTGGGCATCTGGTTATGACAGCGGTGACATCAGATTGCATGCAATAGCCTCACTTTCCATTGTATTTTAAATCCGCCTTAGAAGACATGAATTTAGAATATATATTTGTAAGGGACAAAAAGTCCAACATCGGTTAGGTGTAGGGCCGAAAAATAGTATTTAAGTCTTGGGCTGTTCACCACCCCAAAAGAGCTCTTTTGAGAGGTGACAAGTGGTATCGGAGCAAATTACTGTCTGTCAGGTGTGTGGGCTCTCCATGGTCTAGTGAGACCCTCGGTGAAGTCGATATGTGACAAGGGCGTCACGTGAATGGGTGGAGAAGAATGCCACGGACAAAATGTCCCACATCGGCTAGGTGTAGAGCCGAAAAACAGTATTTAAGTCTTGAGCTGCCCACCACCCGTAAGAGCTCTTTTGGGAGGTGACATATTGCTATTAAAAATAAATTCTGAAACATTCAAAAGTCTTAAATTTAGAATATACCCCTTTTATTTAAAACAAAAAGCCCCTATATTATCATAAGTATAAATAGGAGAGAGCAGAGAAGCAGACGCGAGAAGGCAGCAGAGATAAGAAGCCAGAAGATTGTTGAATCCAAAAACATACAGGAAACACAACCAAGATATAGAGCGTTTGTGTCGTTTCATTTTCTTCTTGATCCTTTACTTTCGTCTTTTTCTCTATGTGTTTGTCGTGATGTCTGGTGAAGGGCACCGTCTGCCGATAAAAGTGTTCTTCTCAAAGTCATGAGTGATATGTGGGCAAAAGCTTGTAAGCTAGACGTGAAGCACAAGCCGATGGGTGAAGCTTCTGCATAGGCATGAGTAGGAAAAGAGCAATGCCTAAGTTATGGACCGATGATATTGAGGGTCGAGCTGGTGTGAAATTGTCTCAAGAGAGGGTTGTGAGGCACGCTAGAGACCATCCTGATGATCATCCTACAGAACACCCATCAAACGTGAATGTTCCTGTCGGGAGATGGAGTTTGTTCGTTTAGGTTTGTCTTGGGGGTTGTGGTTCGCCAGAGAGGTCCTAAGGAGACAACAACCGAAGCTGAGATATGGATCGATCAACAAAGAACGGTCTTCTCTATGAGGGTTGAGTTGAGGATTAAGGAAGGCTAGTGAGGATGTTTTTTTCTTACACTACATTTGAGTGGGGGGTGATTTTGAGTATGTGACTTGAATTGCCTTCTGCATCTTTTTTATTTGGTGCAACAACCGAAGTCCTGAACATCGACTCTGTATCGGTACATACTGGTGCTGGCCCTGAGGATGACGCGATTGTCGTGGACTAAGTTGTGTCCAGTAGAGCGAACACGGAACATGTGGATGTGGAGAGAGAGAATATGGCGCATCGGGGTGTATCGGAGCACGGTGATGGGAATCAAAGTGCTAAGCTAGGTGTTGAGCAGGGTGCTAGAGAACGAAGGATGGAGAGGCACTTATCTCTCATCGGGAGTCAGAGTGTGAGTTGTCAGGTTTCTTCTAGTGTTGTGACAGAAGAGGAGGCGATCAGAGAGCTTCACGTGTCTTCTGACTTCATACTGCATCGTCTTGCTGAGATTGAGTGCTTTCTTCATTTTATGGGGTATCCTCGAGGAGACGAGAATGAAAGAATTGTTGAAGTTCTAGAGAGTTTTAACTAGGCGAAGAAGAAAGTTGTGGCACTTCACGAGAAATTTGCAATCTTCTAAGAGGAGATGCTTGTCGATTGTGGAGAGGTGATGCATCTGTGTTTGGAATTTTCGGTTGTGTTTGGAATTATTGGCCATCAGAGAGGTCCTCGTCGCTGAGCCAAGGGATATCCATAAACCTCTTTAGGGTGGACAATGAGTTTATGTATGAACGCCTTCGTCACCGAGGGGTTGTCTCTGACAAAGTCGTGAATGACTGCTTAGTTAAATTTTTCTTTTCTTAGCTGTAACCGAGGGTTTGGCGTGACACCCCCTCTTTTTATGTAAATAAATAAAAATGAAATAAAATAAAGTATTTTTTTTATTTCTGGTGATGATTACTTTTCTTGCGTAACGTGTAATTCCGTTGTGTACGTCTTGTAGACGGCATTTTGGCTTACCATGCGATCCCCTTGCGCGCACATGAGTGTGTATGTGTGCGAGAGCACGCGTGTGCGTGGCGGCTAAGAATCCTTGTCCTTTTCTTTTTTCTCTGGGTTTTGTTGTCTTTTTCTCCTTTGTCTACTTTTCAATATTTCTTTCCTTCTCCTTTTCTTATTTCTCACATAATATCAGAGGCTCCATATTTCAAAATTATTCTCAGGAGTCATTTTGTTCGATTCCTGCTATAGAGATTTCAGTCATCTCAACGGCGGACAAAGAAGAGATCCAGGATCGTTATGTTTTGGATCCTACGGTTCTCATGTGACCGACTGTCAACCACAAACAGGCTACCGGTGGTTTTTCTCCTGACTTAGTCTTTTACAAGGATCATTTTAAGATGGGTCTTCAGCTGCCACTTTGTCGAGAGTTGTGATTGATCCTCAACCGCTATGGAATCATCTTGCCCATGTTCTTCCTAACTCGATCACCGCCATTATGACTTGTGTTTTTTGCCGAAGGATGAGAATCCCATAGTCAATCGAACTCCTCAACCATTTCTTTTTATTTCGGATCAATGCGATGAATATATTCAGTTCGTGCCGGCCCTAACATTCAGTTGTTGGGGCTTGTAAACAAGGTAAAATGACTGGAAGACGAAGTTCCGATAGCCTCGTGTGTGGATAAATGGTGAATCCGCACTTCTCCACCAGGGAGCGGGTGAAGAAAGTGTAGATCTTACCATGGAATGTTTGCGATCATAGGGCATTGATTAAGGGTCAGCGTCTTTCATTATTTCAACACCACGACCACAACATGATCAAACACATGATTCGTCTGGATGGTGTTGATACCATGACTAAGGATATGTGGTGATCGGCCTACAACATGAAGTTTTCTCGAGAGAGAGCTGCTGAAGAGAGGGTGGCTTTAAAGAGGTCTTGGAGGAGAGGTGCTCCCTTCGACCACTTGACAAAGGTACGTGTCGGTCTGATTTTGTTAGATTAGTCGAGAGAGATATTGGAGGTTGGTGTACTTATTTTCTTACTTATTTGTGTGAAAATTATTTATGTGCCTCTTGTATGACTTGTTAGAGTATTTGGAAGGAAGTGTAAAGGACTCTTCCTGATCGCCTAGCATTCCTGACTCCAGAGGCTCACTAGCGCATCCGTCAACTGGAACAGTTTTGGCAGCGACGAGGTAGGCGTCGTTCATATCACTGCAGAAGCAATACGATCCAGTTTATTGCGCATTCGACAACAGAGCGATCCACATGTTCTAGTTTGTGTAGTAGGGAGATCTTGACATCTTGTAAGCGAGTTGAGTTGGTATTTTCATGAGCTGAGTTGTTGTTTCCTCTGCCTTTGATGTATTTGTCCTTGCCTTCGTAATTATATAGGTCTAATTGAGGATCCGGATCAATGTTCTCCTTTTTATATCAGATAAGAGATTGATTTCTCCGTTGAGAAAGAGTACATACAAGTCTTCAGAATTTATGGGAGCCAATTGAGTTATTATGGCTAACTTGAAGGCTTGATAGGAAGCCGGTAACATTTGAGAATATAAAGCATGATATCTTCGATGTCCATGTTGATCCTGTCGTAGAGATATTATCAATTATGGTTTTGATTTTCATTAGATATTATGTCTTAATGAGATTTCACATAGTGACACTATGCAGTTTGTTCTTGAGTTAGATAACCCTAAATCGATTCGTAGCTTGTAGCTACTTCTCCAAGGTAAGACAAATTTCACTGCAGCATTTCATATGCAACACATAGGGCAAAATAGATGCAGAAATTGTTGAATACAGAGCAACAACAAGATTCTGATCTAACATGATCCATATGCTACAAGTAGGATAAATAGAGAGAGTGCCACAGTTGCTAATGATCATTGAAGCTAGTGGTTGGATTGTTCCAACAAGAAAACCCAAGAATTCATTGGCACTAGTAATCTTGATCATTTTAGATCTCCATAGCTGATAATTGTCGGTAGATAACGCATTTGTGCCACGGATTTTATGTTTGACATGAGAAATTTCATAGAGGGGATTTCAGATATTCGAAGACTTACCAGCCCATCGTGAATTTGCGATGATCCAGAATAGTCCGTCGCTGTGTAGCCTATAAAGGAGCTCTGATACCATATAAACCAGAGAGATCAGAGAAGCTGAGGCGAGAAGGCAGCAAGTTCAGAAGCAAGAAGATAGTAACAGGAACGAAAAAGAACTGTTATATCTCACCCCACTGTATTAATACATGGCAGTATTTATAGTAGAGAACTGGAATACTAAATTAATACAATAATAAAATATAAAGAGAGCTTATTCAAGTCACTGTGGACCCTATGTCTTGAGAATAGAAATCATCTTTCTCAATAAGGAGTAAAATCATGAGAACAAAGGGCTCATTTGAAGGAGAGTTTCAACCGCAACGAAGACTTCGGCGAAATCACGAACACAAAAAGACCATCACTTTCGGCTCAATGTTCTGCGTTCGGTATGTCGAAATGCCCGATTTCTTCGATTTGCTGGTCTGTTCTCTACTTCTCCCCTATTCAAACAAATAATACTTTACAGAAACATAATTTATATTGCCTTTGCTTTGGATATTACTTTTCAATGAAATTTTCTCAATGGCAAAGCATCGTCAAACAAGACCAAATTCAATATACGCCTCAAAGCTACCCTGCCATTAGCAAAACAGTTAATAAGACATTCTTCGATCACTCTCAAGGCATAGAGTTTGTCTTTACAAACACAGCTTCTAATAGTAACCTCACCCAAAACTAAGAAGAAAATTTACATGTACAGGCACTACTATGACACCAGGAACCAATAAAAAGAAAACTATTATATCTTTTCTAGTCCAGTTTGTTGGCTTTGTATAACTCCAACTGAATGTAAAAAGTTACAGATGGAGGGTGGATACCTTCTCTTGAATCAGCCCCTTGGGACATATTAACACAGAGTCCACACACAGACCCCCTTTGGTGTGAGTACAGTCTATTTGTTTCATGGAGAACTTGAGTTTAGTGGGAACATCTGCGCTCCCAACAATAAAATCACCAACATGGTAGCGTATCCAACAACCTGGATCATCAAGTTTGCACTGGCACAAAGCATGCTGGCCGTCCGATGTCCACAGCTGGAAACGGACGGGCTTGATGTCCCACCCATGGATGTGCTCCGTGTTGCATATTCGTCGACCGAGTCGCCTTGTGGGTCGTCCTAGGTGGAGGCGAAAGTATAGGCTGTATGTGCCAGGAGGGAAGCAGAACTCGATTTCGGCGTCGACCTCAAACCACCATATCTGCTGAAGATAGGCGACTGAGTGGAATCTGCAAAAGCAAAGAACTCATATTCACAAATTATTTATTCTTATCACGTTAATATATTTATGCAAGCACCCTTTAAAATTATCGCACAGCATGGTGCTGCTATCCTGACAGGAGTGATTTACAAAACTCAAAAAACATGAACTAAAGCAACCTGTATGAATCTATATATAAAGCTATATAAAATAATTAACTCTCCCATTTGAGATTTCAACGAATCAGCTGTAGTCAGCTCAATGATGAATTTTATAATGTTTCACTTGTTAACCATTTTTTATATAATTACACAGATATAGTGTTTGCTAAACGTGAATTGAAAGGAGGATTCACATGCCAAATTTCTTACAGGTATTTAGGCCTCTAGCACCAAAATCTTTATGTTTAATTATATAGCACTTTAACCTCGAAGTCATGTTCATAATACCACAAACAATAACTTCTCTAAAATAAAATACACTTTTCAAGCATGTTTTTTATTTAATTCAACACCAAGTGTACGATATGCAAATACATAATAATTCAGTGGTTATGTATTTAAGTCCCCCTTAAACGAATGTAAATGATGACCGATGTCATGTTGGACAATTCAAATAGCCATGTCAACCAAGGTAAAAGAGTTCACAATATCATTAAACAAACAGGCATGGAGTCACTCTCCTAAAACTCTATGCACAATGATCAAATTTAACATTTTCTAATGCAATAATACCAGGATAGACCATCGTAAAAGAATTTCTATCAACAAACCAGCATAGCGTCCAATCTAGTCTTCTTGGAAAACCAAAAAACAAATAAAGAAATTGAAAGCAAGTTCCACCCCCCATCCATGGGCAATAATAGCACAGTTCAACAAGAGCCAAGGATTCCCATCCATGGGGTGTTCTCATGCATGAATCTGGCAAGCAAAGCTACAGCTAAGCACCAAATTGGGGAGGATTGAAAATGAAAAAACTAAACCAAAACCGGCCTTTAAGATACAAAAAAGCATTCAATTAGAAATGCATATTTATATGTTGGACCACTTCACACCCGCTTTGCAATTTAAGCAGTTGGCATCCACATTCATAAATACACTTCTACCTTTATGTGAGAAGAAATGGAAAAAGAAGAAAAAGAAAAAGTAGTCTTCCTCAAGAGATGAACCTAATTGAATAAAAGTTAAAAAATTCAAGCTCAGCTGAATGAGAGGATCATTACACAGCAAATCATTATTTTCTTTAAATTCTGAAGATTTCCCACGAGAAAACACGTGGGCATTTACATACATAGCGCACAATTCTTATGTATTTACTTATCTCACACCAAAACTTTTATATTTAAATACATAGATCGCACTTTGATGCTATAAATGTGCATGAAAGTGATAATAGTGCTATTTGCACTTTGATGCTATAAATGTGCATGAAAGTGATAATAGTGCTATTTTTTATGTCTTATTTAAGATTTGAGAGTTATGTGAGATGTGTAAATATCTAAGAATTGTGAGATTTGTATGTAAATTTCGCAAAAATATAATAGCATATTCTTAAATTATTTGTGATGATTGACTGACTCACAAGCAACTTGGAACAAGGTCAACGAGAAAATACTCAACTCATCCTTTTTTTCAGTTCAGTTCATTTACATACATAACACTAAAATTCCTATGCATTTACATATCTAACACCTATACTTTACTTTTTAAATTTATGCCACCCAAATGTTTCATATCACATCAAGAATACTACTGCTTTAACTTTTAAAAAGGGAAATAAATCTTCTTTTTGCATAGATAAGGTATGTAAAAATTGAAGTTTTAGGTGTTAGATACATAAAAACATAAGAATTAAGTGGTATGTATGCATGTCTTCCTTTTTTTTTACCTTCCTAAGCTTCCCAAGTTTTATAGTATGCAATATATCAATGCTAGATCTCACAATGTCAGGAGTTTCATGCACTAGCACACTAGATTATACAGTGAAACTAAATAGGCATATTCCTGACTTCCCGTCCATCAATTAGTCAGCGGGAAATATTTAAATACTCAAACAGGCAATTGATGGAGAAGGCAACATTGAAATGCATAGATTATAGTCGCGCTGAACAACCCAAAACCTAGCCAAGTAAAAATTAAGGTATAAATACTTGAAACATTGCTATTTATAAAATTAGCACCCGGTGATTATTTAAACTAATGAACTGATGCATTTATATATGCTGCAACATTGGGAATATGATACAACAACAACAACAAAGCCTTAAGTGTCATATTTTCATTTAGTTCTAGTAAATTAAGATCATTTTTAATACAATAAGCCCAAGTCTTCCTAGGTCTACCTCTGCCTTTCTTAACACAAGTCGAATTTAAAACATCTACTCTCCTAATCGGATCATCTAATGGTCGGCGTTTAATATGACCAAACCATCTAAGACGACTTTCTCTAATTTTGTCTGTCACAGGAGCTACACCAACCCTATCACGAATATATTCATTCCGCATTTTGTCTCTAAGTGTAAAGCCACTCATCCACCTAATCATTCTCATCTCGGCAACACTTAACTTATTATTATGCTTCTCTTTTAAAGGCCAACATTCAGCGCTATAGAGCATTGCAGGTTAAATGAAAAAAATATGGGTTGAAGTTTTACCGCGAACTTTGATATTTAAAAGAGAACTTGAAAATCTGATAAAAGGGGGTCGCAGTTCTGTAAATAGCAATATTATAATTACCCCCGGCTCACCCGCCACCCAAAAAAAACACATTAGATGATCCTACCACAAAAACTTTGATCAGCAAAGAGTCTTTAATAACATTCAAAGTAAAAAGACAAACAAATAAACCTTTCTGCTAACAATAAAATAACAAGTTTGTGGTTTCAAGGAAGAGGTAAAAACAGAACAAAAGAAACCATAAATTAACCAGAACAAGAACTATGGATAACGCAAATTTGCAAGCTACAACGCTGACTGGGCAAACCAGAAGAATAGGTTCAGCTTCTGTTCAGTTGATGGTTGTCAACAAAAACTAAAGCGATTGCCTCAATAGTATCAAGAAAATAATAATTTTATGTACTTATTACATAGAAAATTACATTAAATGTATACCTTGATTCCTCAGTCGGAATATTGCTCCAGTATCTCCGATCATCTATCCCAGTAATAAGCAAAGCCTTCGAAGAAATAGACATGCAAAGCCTACCCCTGCGCTTCTCTAGCCAGAATTCCTGCAGCCAACAATACCCAGATGCCTTAAAAAAATGGGCCGCAACAGTCAAAAACAGGTGGCAGCATTTGTCACCTGGATAAAGGACTGTTGCACTACAAGAGCAATGTAAGTCAAATAAAATTTAGGTGCTGTCTGGCAACACATGAGATTTAAGTTATTTGGATTTACTAAATCCCGTAAAACCAGTTTTATAAAATCTTGAATGGGTTAAATCCGGAAGACTCTCTGGCAGCGGATTTACTAAGTACTATAAATCAAATGAAACTGTTTGGCAATTTCTTTCAGGATTTAAGAAGTCATTATGGCTGTTGGAACACTCGGAAGCCCCCAAAGTTAGATCCCAATTCCCAAAGTTAGATCCCAAGTCCCACCAAGTTAGATCCAATAAAACTATTTGGCAATTTCTCTAGGGATTTAAGAAGCCATTATGGCTGTTGGAGAAACTCGGAAGCCCGCGAAGTTAAATCCACCAGTTCGTGGGATTCAGTAAATCTGGAATCTACAGCTGAAATCAGTAGAACTCGGATTTACAGCATCCGGTGTTTTATTTTGTCCAAAATGACTGTCTGGTGGGATTCCACTTAAATCCTTCATCAATCCTGGGTTAAATCAGTTGCCAGACAGCCCCTTGGTAAAATTGTCACATCCAGATTCCATTATTGAGAAAATTAAACAAAAAATGCCGTTTGCATAACAATTATTGATAAATTAGTTAACTTTTTGTTTCAGAATTTAGGATTTATAAAAAGATGAAATTTTTTTTAAAATACTGAATCCAATCAATAATACAACTGAAACAGCACTAATCAAAATAGCAGGATCCAAAGTTCCCAAAATTATGTTTGCTGGTTTTAAGCTAAAACTTTCTCAAATCCTACTTAAAAAACTATAGCATAAAGCCCCAAAAACTTGCAAGAAAACAAAAAGCGCAAATACAATACCTAACAGGGAAAATTATACACATTTTTTATGAAAAAAAAAAAGATTGAATCCCCCCGCTTAAGAAAAAAGTCACTATGGATCGCAAAAATAGCTCAACAACTATATATCATCCCCTTGCAACCAAGAACAAAAACCCTATTCTTGCTTGAAATTTATGGATCAATCATATTTTAAACCTAAAAGCCCCAATCATCAGATAACAATAAACGGACAAAAACCACTGAGTAAATCCGAACGCAAGTCACAACTAAACAAAGGAACTCCCTACCTTCGTTCCCCCATCAAAAGGGTTCGGACGACAAAGCTGCGCGTAGATTTCCTTCTTAGTCAGCAGAACCTCGTTCTCCACTTCCTCCGAAGCTTTCTCCAACAGGTACTGGTAGTTTCTAGGGAGCTTCGTCTCCCACACGAAGTCCCCCGAAGCTGCTCCTCGGAAAGCCCGGCTGAGTTTCGCAAGCCTGCAGATCCCCGGCGCATCGAGGTACAGCATCAGCTCAGCGATGCAACTTTCCGGTAAGTCCCCTAGCCCCGTCTCCTGAACTCCTCCGTGCCCTCTGACTCCCATACTACTCGAGGCTCCCGCCCCCATTCTCTCACCAACAAAACGCTCAAAAATCTAGTCCTATTCTAAACGACGATCCACAAAGCCCTAACTGCAAACCATTGGGCCAAGCAGATACCACTCTAATCCGAAAGAAAGATTGCAGAAAAATGACGGCTTTGTTGATGAACAAAGAAATTTCATCTCTAATCTGATCGAAGAATCGATGCGGCGTACTGTCTCCACCACTTTCCCACCTCTCTTACAGCTTCAAGGGGAAGGAGGAGGAAGAAGAAGCGTGGGAAAAACGCTGGAGGAGATTTTTTTGTTTGTTTGTTTTGTAGTTTTTTTTTTTTCTAAGGATCGGATCGGATCGGATGAAATTGTTATATCGGGCGTGCTTAGAACATAGGAGCATTGGATGGTCTGGCGAAATTATGGTGTTCCCATAATACCCTCACATGTTGGGAGAGTTGAGACCGCGCGGGAACTGTGTAAATGGCAGTACAAGGACGAAGGGACTAAATTACCCCTTACTGGTGGAATAGTTGAAAGGCTGCAGGCCTGAGAGCCCGCCACGTAGACGTTTCTCATCCACGCAAAATTACAAATAATAATGATAGTGGGTAAAAGTGCAAATTTTAGAACAATTTAAGTGATAACTAATACCAGTTATAGTCGCATGATCTGTCCTGTACCTTTTTTTTTTTAATGAATTGCTTTTAATTTTAGAGATTGACAAAAACTTTTGTCCTTAGTTAGGTCCTGTTTGGAGCCGTGTGGTAGAGTTGCGGCGCCCCACTTGTTTGGGGTGTTTACCCGCGGTGGCTCGCTAATCTCCTTAGTCATGAGTTTGATCCCATGGCTCTGCCTCGCTCCTTCGGCATTTTACTCAGGTGTCCTCCCTATTCGTGATTCCGCCCTAACTCTTCTTCTTCGTCGTTCAGCTAAGATCCCTGGTTCGTCTGTGATCCTGATTCTGCCGTAAGTCATCTCTTTCGTCGTTCGGCTGCGATCCCTCCCCCCGCCCTAACACCCCTCCTCCCACGCTGCTCACTTTCCGTGGTTCATCCTCCTCTTCTCTTGCATTTCTCACGCTACCCGATTTATCTTCCTCATTGTTAGCTTGGGGTGAACGCATTTTTTGCGATACATGTGATTTCCTTGTTGGTTGGATCTATTATGTTATATTTTAAAATGTTGCTCTAGGGTGTGAATGTGTGATTTAGATGTGAATTTTTGCTTGTTCTTGGTGGCCCGAATTAAGGATTGGTTTGTTGTTTGAAAAAAAAAAAAATTGTATCGCATTAAGGATTGGTTTGTTGTTTGAAAAAAAAAAAAAATTGTATCGCTATGAAGTGAATTTTATACTTTTGAAGTATCTAATATATCGTTAGAATAGTGTTGTTACAAATCACATTATCAAACAGGGCAGAATGTTCATTTGTTTAGAAATAGCTGTCGTACAATTGTTTTCACACAGTTTCAAAAAACAACTTGTGAGTTTTTCCGCTACAACTTCTTAAGAGCAGCTTCTCCGCAACAACTTTCTGGGGTAGCTGCAAGGCAACTAAGCTGCAGCTGCCCCAAACAGATCCTTAGTGTATTGTCATGCTCTATATATTTTTTGAATAGAATAAGCTGTATTGTGGGGCTGAGGTGCTTGTTTTGGGTGTCCTGGTGTGTTGATCCACTGTAGTTTTAACTTCTTCAAAGTGTATCTTTCATCCATATATAATGCATAAACAAATTGTATATAATAACAAAAAGCATTAGAATGATATAAACATATATTAAATACAATATAATACCACGTTACGTTTTACATTTCAACTATCTTAAAATAAGGTAAGAACATGATTAAATTTTCAGAAGATGATATTAAATATAATATTTTACCTAATCCATATAATAATGCCCTGATTCTTAAGAATTTCCCCCCAAAATAAACTGAGCTAGTATATGTGATTATGACATAAGTTTGAGTATACTTTAGTTAAGGTATTAACCCATTGTTAGAGTATAGTGACTCTAAACTCTTCTAAAATTTCTGTTGTTTGATGTATTTTAATATACCCATACATTCTAAGACATTAGTCGTTTCAAATTTTTGATGTACTTATATCTTTTAAGGCATTAGCCTTGTGAGATTTTTGATGTACATGTGTCTATTGAGGTATTAACCTGCTAATATATTTGAGTGAAGACCTTATTAACCGCTTAGTCTCATAAAATCTTTTTAATGATGACACTATCGACTACTAACTTTCCATGATGGTTTCCTTAATGTGTCTTCCAAGGATATTATAAGAGACAATGGTGTACTTCAATGACATGTATTGACTCAAATAATAATATACATTAATGATGCGCATTAATAACGTTGAGCGTTAATGAAATGCATCAACGTTATAGGAGATCCTTAGTGTTAAAGTTAGTGAGTATCAATTTTGATGTTGACAAACAACAACACCAACAAGCATTAATTATTGAATGTAATTAAAAGACATGGCGGAGCTGGGGTGGGGGGGGTGCGGTGATTAAAGTGTGGCAATTTGCTAGTGTTAATACAATGATGATGAAAATCCAAGAGCGTCAAGTGTATCATCCAGATAGTTGTATCAATGATGGCCAGGTAATAGCAATCCAATAATGGTTTGAAGATAGCAATAGTCTAATAGTGTTGGGCACTAGCTTTGATGGAAATTGAGCAATAATCTAACAAAGCAATTAATCAATTGGTGGCAGTTCAAAGGTGGTGGAACATTAAAGCATAAGATTCTTTCGAGCCTCAAGAGTTTCCTTAAATCTCCTCATTAAGATTATATCTCCCTACGGGATAATAAAACTAAGTTCCTTCTATTATTGAGTTATAACTAATAGATGGCAGTAATCCAATGATGTATGCTAAGCAATAGCCAAGCTATATTTCATAGATGTGTAAAATTAATTTTATCGAGGAGTTGCCCATCGATGTTGACTTATGTGTATGAAGTTATAGGAAATCCATTAAGGATATTTAAAATATCCAAGGATATTTATTAGAATGATACTAGATGCCATTAGCCTATATGGAAGAGGCCAAATAATGTTCACTTAGGATGTTGACTTTATGTTGTTTACCAAAATGTTACTTAATAATGTTCTTGTAAAGAAAAATCATAAAAAAAATTCATAAAAAATGTTTGACATGTCGAATGTAACTTTTTGGAGTGTTACTCAACGATATTAACCTACATAAAAAATATGAAAGATTCCATCAAGATATTTAACTTATATGGGATTGTTTGTCAAAGTGGTCACAAAAAAATCATCAAGGATGTTTGATCTTTCTAGTATTATTTTCAATGCGTTAGTCGATTATATTAACCTATATAGAAGATGTCAAAAGAAATTCAACAAAGATTACCTATATGAAGTTGTTCATCTGAGTGTTACTTGATAATATTAAGATGTATAGAAAAGGTTATAGGAAATGTACTAATGATGTCTTACTTTATTGAGGTTTTTTTTGAATTGTTACTTGGTGATGTTATACTATGTACAATATGTTAAAAGTAATCTACCAAGGTTGTTTGATCTATCCAAGATTTTTTGTCAGAGAGTTACTTAACATCGAATGATTTTGAACTGAATCCCCACAGGATTGACTATAACTTAACTGTAAAGGTGCAATAATCTTGTGTATTCCAAACCAAAGTTGACTATTTCGTTATATAGAGAGTTGAAGTCCAACTAGGGACTTTATGCTAGTACTGAAGGTCATTGAGAATTTTTATAAAATATATCAGTTTTAACAAAAAAATCTTCATTGTTGCATTAGAAGCATCAAAATAATTTACATGATAAGATTTTTTTGTGTAAATTGATGCATCTTTCTAGCTTTAGTTAAGATTGTTGCCTTATCAAAGTTTTCTTTATATAGTGATAGATAATATAAGAGGGTGTCAGCTGCAATCGTGCTTGAGACTTTATCCTTATAGTTAAGATTACCCCTAGTAAATTTTTATTTTTCTTAAATGATGATTTGATGAAGTCAAATAGACTGCCCCATTATAATTTTCATGCTATGTAAGTTAGCATGAACAGCTTGGAGTTGCCCCAAAACCATGAAATTTTAAATCTAGTAGAAAATAAAAGATTTATTCCTTAGAAGTTCAAAAGGTTGATTTGAATGATCTTTCAAGCTTGTATTTAATAGTGGCAATCTGATGATGGCGAATAGGCTACTCAAAATTGATGAGTAAGATTAGCAATTTATAAGAGGTGGATAACTTGTTTTGGTGAATAAGGAAACATGATCTTATCTAATGATGATACCATCCACAATCTTTGAAAGACATAACTAATGTGTCTTCATAAATAAGGTTATGCTTGTATAGGAAGGAAGGATCACAAACTTAATGTCCTTGGCTTGAAGATTGTTGTTGAAATAAGATGCCCTATTAAATATTACAAGTATTATAATGCTTGTAAATTTTTTAAAGACGAGCTACTTTCTCACAAATGATGTCAAACTGTTGCATACTAAAAAATTTTCAACGGTAATAAAAAAATTTTATGCCTTAGTTTCGTAAATTTTCTAGCACATATGGAAAGAACAACAAGAAAGAATTAATTTTTTTACATTAAAAAATTGTAGAAAGGAAAAAAATCGCAAGGCATGACCCGATCAAATTAATCCACCAGGAAATTTAAAGAGGTTCACTCTTATCTTGAATTAAAAAATATGAGATTAGAAAATCCAGAATCGCAATCTGTAGTAGTAGTTTGACTACATCAACCATATTTGAGCTACAACTAGATTTGGTGGCTAAAACAGTTGCAATTCATTGTAAGCAGCCACTGGCTGTGGTCGATAATGGCTAGTGTCCATTTACCTACAATTCTCTTCAAAAGCTTTGCCGTAGTTGTTAGCTTGCTCTCCCTCCACATGTGAAAAATGGGGTTTATTTATAATTTTTTAGAGTGATATTTTGATAATTTGGCTAAACTCTGAAAAAACTTCATCAAACTGTATGTGTTTGTTCTTTTAAATAGAGGTCAATTATTAGTATTTAAGTGTTACAACAACATCATAATTGAGAGATTTTAGACTTGATGGATTACTCTCATTGAGTTGCTCAATTCGATTCTAAGCATATCAAATTTAGAAATTGCTTAATTTTTTAATTAATACTCCAAATTTTTTATCTATATTTCAAGTGTTTAATCTGTACTTATTTAGGCTCGTATTGAATCACTTTTAGTGTCATTAGGCTCGTATTGTCGATATGCTCCGTTTAGTTATAATTTTTTTGAAATCAGAGTTTGGATAATTCAACCTTATGAATGAGGGGGCCATCCACTGTCTATGAAAGACATAACTAAT